CTACCCACCGCCAACTCTTGGGCTACTCTTTACCAACGAATAGTGGGATTGACCGTCACATTATAACCGCCCCACGGCTGAAAGGGCGAGCTTGTTTGGTGGGGCTGGGATTCGAACCCGCGATCCTCTGATTGCGAGTCGAGCGTCCTTACCACCTGGCCATGCCGGGCTTTAAAGAGTCATCGCTAATTCTTGAACATTAATCGAAAATACGACATATATTTGTAATCAAAAAGTAGTATATTTATTTATTAGTATGTTGTTAACTTTAAATATATTCCAAAGCCCTATTTTTTATGGTTTATTGTAGTATATTGTTAACTAGTTTTATCAAACTCTGTTATGACGATTTTTTGCACAATCTGTTAACTTCAGACATTCTCCTCTCTATAAGTTATGTTGTTAACTAATATATATCTCTCTCTATATCTCGATGAAGAAAGACGAGTCTAATTGGTACGTTGTTAACTCAAGAAATATCCCTCCTTATCAATGATGCGTTATTACAATACCTGGTTAACATGATACATACTTAGGGGCGTAGCCAGAGAGGGAAGGCCGAACGACCAACCCAATATTCTAAAAAGTCTAAAAGGTCCAGCATCTTCTGATTTTTTAATATATGCTTGACTTTCATGTAAACCACTTAATTTTTTTTAGAAGAAAAGGTCTATATTTTATTTGGAAAAAGATCACCCCCCCCCCTTCCCACTCTCTGGTGCTGGTTACGCCCCGGATACTTCTTTCTATCCGCGATGCTTTGTTAAAGTTTATACTAAACATCTAAACTAAACACTAGAATGTGTACCTTTGTGAAACTACTTAGCATGATAATTTATGCAACTATACTTGACAGTCTTTGTTACTTATCACCTCACCAACTCATTCAATTCACATGGATATCAAATGACAAACAGAAAAATAATCATTACCACTTGGATAAACTACTACGATTGGGCTCATGAAATACAGCCCTATTCTTTGCTTTTGCTAGTAAGGTATTTTTGTGACCATATTCCCTTACAATAAGTATTTACCAAATTTCTTGTCGTTTGTTTGAATTCAGAGCCACTGCAAACTAAAGACTTCTAAACTTATTCATACGGCATTGTGTTCCTTTTGTTTGTCATTTTACAGCAAAGTGCTTTGCTGAAATAACAGATATTTTCTTATATTAGTTTTTCAATTGCTAAGACATATTGTTGAGAAAAATCCTACTACCATTTTCCTATCTATAATTAAGTTTGTTGTTTTCTTTTAGCCTTATCGCTATGGATTTTGACATGGCTTTTAATTAGTTTTATATATTATCACTCGATTAAATTACTCAATGACTGTGTTTGTGCAACTTATTCATTTTATTAAAATGATTGAACGAAAAAGGAAATTTTCTTCCTACTTTTATGGACATCTACTTCAATTCGAAACTATATATCTAAGTGTAAAATTATTATATCAAAACAAGTGGGAGGGATCGTTAAATATAATATTATGAATAAGTTTTAGAACTTTTTATCTTATATTTTCTGCCAGATTCATGTGATGGTGTAAAATGTGGAAAAGATAGGGAATGTACAATGAAAAAAGGAAAGCCTAAATGTGTGTGCAGACCTAAATGTTCTAAACGTCAGCGCCGTCTGGGGACAGTGTGTGGAAGTGATGGAAACAGTTACAAGCATATCTGTAAGTTATTGAAGGTGCAGTGTCGGAAAAACAAAAACCTGGCTGTCAAGTACTTTGGTCCATGTCAGGGTAAGTTATTTATATTGGAGAAAATGTCAATAAAATGTCAAATATTTCTTTAAAAATTGGCATATATATATTTTTAGACCATTTATTAGATATATTATCACTTCTTTCCTAAAAGACATTTAATTCATTAAAATGCAGCACTGCATCATTTAATTTCAACACTTTATTAAATTTACATTTTGTCAAACTTAGAAATAATGAAGCTTAAAGATGCTGTAAGTTAAATATTTTCAGCGAATATATTATTTATAACAGAATAACTTCCCTCAGTTTATGCAGTTCATAATAATAATATAAAAAAAAACAATAGCTGAAACATTAAGAAAAAGGTCAACTAACCTTTTCAGGTATTTTCCTCAGATACAAGATAGATATCCCTTCAAATAAATTCCTTCAAACATGTTTGGAAATAATTTTTTGAGTTGAAATTTTCATTCGACCCTTCTAAGAATCTTTAATCAAGTTTGCAAAGCTTGCTTTGTGATAATGCATTTCTATAGCCATTCGGTACTTTTTAACTTCGTTTACTCCTGTTAGATGATAAATCAAAAAATATATATAAATAACCAGCAGTTTATTCTCATTTTACGCTGCCATAAACACTTTACCAGGTTGCGAATAAACTTTATGATAATAAATGATTTTATTTTGTTTCCTTATGATAAAGGACTTTTCATGGTTTAGATTCCGATCTGCAAGAGCTTGTCTGTTGTATAGACATGGTAGTTTATATTCTGCTCCATCTTTTTCAGAACCAAATAAATAAGAAGACAAAATGTTCCAAGTGCTAGCTTTATTAACTAGTCATGCTAAAGAAAATTAATTCTGTAATATTGTCAGAAACCGTCTTTACGTGTGTGTCCATGTGAATCTAGTCTACAGATTAGCTGACGCTCTTGTGGGCGTTAAAGCGGCCCCCTTTAATTTAATCTACTTACGATTCATGGAAGTGAATGCTATTCCGAGTACCTTTCACAGAAAACTCTGTTCGAGATAGAGAAATTTAACTTAACAAAAGACGGTTTTAGAAGGAGCTAAAATTTATTAAATTACAAACGCAAATGATATTTTTTTCACTTCAACCTATGCTCTGTCACCACGTAAGTTAGAAGCCCGAAGGAAATGATAGAACTTTGTTTGCGTTTCGCTGAATGCTTCATTAAAAACCCGGGGACGAAATAATTCTGGTCGTAGATAGTTTTCCATATGCTAAAGCGTATAAAATGACACATTCAGATGTGGTAATACAGTGGAATTAACACGTGATAATGCCAAGTCAAAGATCTTGCTTTGAATTCTTTATTTTTTGTTATTGGTTGAATGAACCAGATACGATATAATTCGTTAAAATAAATAAACACTGTTGTTTCTTCTGGTTCAAGAAAACAACAACATATATAACGATGTTGTGGTTAACAGCCTATACGGTCACCTAAGTCTAATTACTGATTAGTTATTTTTAAAACTATATACTAATAATTAAATATATCATATCTCCCCCCCCCCCTTTTTTTTTGCTGTTAATCTACTGTCGTCTGCAGTGAAGCTCTGTCTAGGGTTCGACCTTGGGTCTTCTTTATGGAATTCGTGTGCGTTATTCACTCTATTAGAACGTGAATCAAATTCCTATTATAATGTTTTTGAGAGGGGTGTCCAAGTTTTGCTGACTTTTATGCTAGGTTGACTGTGTTATCAGTTGGGTTGATATCGAAGGCTTCTTTTATCTTTCTTTTTCTCATGTAAGGCTCGTATCCTATTATTGTACGGCATGACAAGATATTTCAGATTGATCAGTATTACCGAGTTTTGTATATTTATTATGCTCCTGAATTTTGACGTTTGTTACTATTTTTTGTTTTTCCAATGTATTGGAAATAACATTCACAAGGAATGCTGTAAATGATGTTTTCTGTTTCTTTAGGTGGCTTGGTGTATATTAATTGCGATTATTGGCTCTGAATGCTATTATGACTTTATATGTTTTACATATCCTCAATAAGTTTTCAGATAAACCTCTGATCAAGGAAATTTGGAGGTATGGTTGTAATTTACTTCCTGTCCATTCCCAATTTTCATCTTCCATCTTCGGTATTACCAGTCTTGTTCATTTTCGAAACAAGACAGTCTGTCTTTACACTGTTGGTAGTTTTATTTAAAGTCGATGTGTTTACTGTAACTGTGGGCTTCCAATAAACTTCGGTAGTATGTGAGTTTTGTGTCTTGGTACGCATCACGACTAGGAATTGGAGTTTGTTATCTATTTTTCATTTCCATTGCGAATCGTATTATGTGATGTTGTCCGTTCAAGTAGTTCACGAACTCTTGAAACTTGTCTCTAATTTGTGGCTATATTACGAAAGTATAATCAACGTACTTGAGTTACATATTGGGGCGTATAACGACTGTTTTGAGGGTGTTAACTTGAAAATATTCCGTGTAGATGTTTCGGAGTGCTGGTAATATGGGTAAACCCATTGCTAGGCTTTCTTATTGTTGATGGTATTTATCTTCAAGTTGGAAGTAGATTGTGTTGACGTAGAAGGTGATGATTCTGTTATAGTGGAACTTGTCAGTTGGGTGTGCTTTTTAGAGTTATATAATTTTCAAGGTGTTGATGTTATATCTACCAGATATCTAACTAAGGGTTAATCTCTGCGGTTAACTACGAACGGAGAGAGTAGCCTTGGTTGTAAATTTTAGGTAAGCTACAGGTGTTTGCGGTAGTTCCGTTCTTTATTCTTAGTTGTTTTTAACTCTTCCAAGTTTTTTCTCATGTTTCTTGAGGAGTTGATTAATTTTCGTCTCTGTGTTAGCAGTTAGGTTAGACTTGATATTCGTGTAGTGGCCACCTTCAACTAGAGTTTGGAGTTTTATTGAATATTCCCGTTTGTCCATGATTACAATAGCATCCATTTGTCTGTTGTTAAAATTCTCAGCGTTACGTGTTATTTTGTAGGACACAGTAATTAACATAGTCCTGATTATAACTGTATTATAATAACTCTTTCGTGTCTTTTTCAAGTTTCCGAGGGCAGTAGTTTCTGATAGGGTAACAATAGCACAGCGTGGTTTACATTCTATGCCTTTCTAAACTGCTAATTATATTTTGTTTCTGAATTATCATTCTTCTTCTTCTGGTATAGGCTGTAAATGGTGTCTTCTGCGGGTGTAGCTATATCTAAGGTGGGTATTTTGTTATTTGTTAGGGCTAAGTTTCTTTTTCAAGTTCTGTTTAATGGTAGTTTACGTGAGTTTATTACGGTGCGTTTAGATGTGTATCTATAGTGTTAGGAAGCTTCTTGTTTTGTTCATTTAATTTATTTATGTGAACTTCTTTAGTTGTTGCGTGCGTTTGTGTTGGTATGAATTTTAAATAGCTGAGTGTATCTTGATAGAGTTTATATTGCCTGTAATTATTTGTGTTGTTTACATTTATGGAGGTGAGTATTTACTTTAGATGATTTACAGTTAAGTTTTCCCAAATTCCTTATAAAGTCTGGGACCGTAACCGGGTGATTAAGTATTTACATGTATATATATATATATTTATCTTCGCAAATGAGGCCTTGGGTCCATATAGTTACTACAGTTAAAACAACAATTTAAATAGTAGACAGGTCTAAGAACCTTAAAAACTGACATGATAGCTGACCATCAACATGTTAGGGTATACTACCGCCTTTTACCAGACACAAACAAGATAGTGACTTTTCCCCCTCCTTCCCTAATTGTTTGTACACAATACCTCGAAGGGTGGAATACCCGTGTTCGACCAGGGAGATTTAAGTCAATACACCTTAGTTGAATGGAAGTATGTTACTGGCAGAGCAGGAAAACGTAAACATAGAAACACAAACAGTGTATTTGTACTGGAAGCGATGTGAGCTATTAAGCAGTACCTGGAAAATAAATACACAAATATACCTAAACCAAGGAACAATGTCTAAATAACGTATTAGTAAACACACAAATATACATAAAACCAAGGAACAATGTCTAAGTAACGTATTAGTAAACACACAAATATAAACTATGTGGATAGATATCCTTTATTGAAAACTAACACATGAACATACATGTACCTACGGAGGCATAAAGACACTCGTTTCAGTCTGTATTTTCAACACTTTATAAAAAGATGGTTTAAATATTAATTTATTCCAGTCATATCTACACGTCTACTGGTAAATATATATTACTTATTAAGACTATCAAATAAACTGTCATTATTGTTTCTTGTAACTTTGATATTTGAGTTTTCACTGTTTTCTTCTAGAAACTGAAAATAATTTCTATAATTAACAACAATTACAACAGTTCTCAGCGTTACGTGTTATTTTGTAGGACACAGTAATTAACATAGTCCTGATTACAACTGTATTATAATAACTCTTTCGTGAATTTTATAAGTACAATGAATACAGACTGGTGTTTTAGAAATTATCTATACGGAACGACGTCAGAGAAGCACTTACCTTTGCTAATTTAACTAAAACCTATGAGGCTAGGGCATTATCTTACTGTAATGATAATACGGAATTAATCCAGCTAGATGCATAGGCAGCAATAACATACAAGGGGGAGGCACCTTATTTGTTGTGTTAACCGTGACCATTGAATTCAAAACTGAAACAGCGACTCTCAATGACAGTTATTCCCCATTTAAAAGGACACTTTGAGTTACTTCGAATTGTCGGTGACGTATGCAGCTTTTATGTTGGTATACCGCACTTTAACGTTTTGTCTGAATTTCGACGGTAAATTAGAGTTACCTTTACCTTTTTTTTTTCAGTGTGGACGCTGCAAATAATCCTGTCAGCTTTAGCAATTAGTAAGAGTCATGGGAAAGTCGTAAGCCAGGCATTAACTAAAGTAAACAATTATTGTGAATAAAGATTTTGTTTACTTGTGTTTTGCAGATTTTTTGTATCAAAAGATTGACAGCTAGTTAGCATTAAACAACGCCTATCATTAAAAGACTTAGCGAGACAGAAATTTGACAAAAGAAAAATATCATGAGCTGAGTGGTAAAATGGCTTTTAAATTAACAATTAAAAATTAAAGCAATTATTATTCGTCGTCGAACTCGAAACCATTATGTTACAATATTAATAATGTGTTTCTTTTGTTATAACGCTTTTAAATTGATTACTATAGACAACTTGCGTCAATATATAGGAAGTATAAGAACATTGGTAGTACATGGTGTAAATCTTTAACCTTTTAGTCTAAATATTATGAAATATAAAAACTCGTTTACTAGTTTAAGTTTACCTACTCAGGCTTGCAAAACGGTTGGACGCTAGCTAAACTTAGTATTAGTATCCCATTATCTATGTAATGGTCATTTGACGATCTGGGGAAGTTCCCAGAATATGCATCAAACTAAACGCTAAAGAATTAGAACAAGTAGAGAAGCTTACTAAACTGGGACAAATATCGGTAGTGATGATAAGTGTGGATAAACAGATAAAGTGTATGATAGGAAAAGGATAAACAGCATTCTTCTGTCTTCTCAGGAGAGATGCCTGATTTATCTCGGGAGAGATGTCTTCTTTACCACGGAAGAGATGTCTGATCTATCTCGGGAGAGATTTCTGACTTACTGACTAGAACTGAAGAACAGACTACTAAAACGTTATGTAAGGTCAGTCCTACTCTAAAGGGTGGAAACTTCTGCGGAAACAAAACAACAACTGAAAGCACTTAAAGCATAGTGTTCTAAACGACTAATAAAGATCAGTTACATAGAAAAACTAACAAAGAATTACTGGAACACAAACGACAACTGAAAGCACTTGAAACATACTGTTGTAAATGACTAATAAAGATCAGTTACATAGAAAAGCTAATGAATAATTACTGGAACACAAACGACAACTGAAAGCACTTGAAACATACTGTTGTAAATGACTAATAAAGATCAGTTACATAGAAAACTAATGAAGAATTACTGGAACACAAACGACAACTGAAAGCACTTAAAACATAGTGATGTAAACGACTAATAAAGATCAGTTACATAGAAAAACTAATGAAGAATTACTGGAACACAAAACGACAATTACTAAATATAGGAAGACGAAGACTTAATGCTTTGGGTATATAATTAGATCTGAGGGTAGGTTAACAGAGGTTCTGGTGTATAAAATCGAAAAAAGAAGAGTGAAAGGTAGAGAGAGACTCATGTGGCTTGGAGATATTAGGAATTGGACTGGAAATGGGAATCGGGTAGGACACCGTAATTGATTGATAGCTATCTATTGTTCAGTTGGCTTGGAGTCGCGATATTCTGCGAGACTTTAAGCAGTTGTTTAAAACGCCCCTGTTGTAGTCATACAATTCGGCATATTTGTGTTCGAAAATTTACAGCCATGGGCATCCGTGGATTATCAATTTTTTGTTTCTCTAGTTATGGCTTTGATATCATTTTGTCATTTTGCCTCCCCCCCCTCAGTAATAATCCTGCAAACACCCTTGTTTACAGCCTATGTTATTATTTCTAGATTCTAATGAAATGCTAAGATACTTGCATTTATAACAAGAAGTAACACAGGGGCGTTGCCAGGAGATGGAGTGAATGAACCACTTTTGGACCACAAATATGCTTTAACTAGCAGAGACTCGCAAAGCATTTGCAGTCAGATTAGTATCTTTATTGCAACAGTACTTCTTTAAATACAGCATTTCTAGAATCCACTTGTCTTGGGCCTAACATTAATTAAGTCTTTAATTAAGTGTGGCCTATATTCGATAAAGAGGCATGATAACACTAACTTGTATACGTTTTTTGCTTTAGTTTAGTTAGGGTTAAAATTTATCGTACTTAATATTATCAGTAAATAAACTTATAATATTATTCTACGATCTAACGTTAGACATTTTTAACAACTTTGATAAGCTTTTAATACGTTATTGTCTACTAAAGTATGTTTACATCCGTTGAAATGAAATGCGCGCGCATGCGCATTTAGATAGTAAGGGGCACGTGTATTTTCAGGACAGGCGAACTTATCATTGTTATAATAGTTCGATGACGAGGAATCCACTTTGAGACTAATAATGGCTGGAGACGGCTTAAATGGGTAATGAAGAAAACTTTAATATAACAGTAAATGTACAACGTTGATGATGACAAAACCTTGTCGAAACGTTGTACATTTA